CGCCCCAGAGGCGGTGACTAAATAATAACAGTTATATATATTGTAATAGTTGAATAAAATAAATAATGTCTTAAAAGGGGTACAGGCACAAAAATAGCAAATAATTCTATTGTAAAATCGATTTAAAATTTTGATTAGGTAAAACATTTTCAAAAAAATTATCAAATTCACAATTTACATTAATACAATTATAATACATGATATACTCTCATACAGGTTCTCATTTGAATTGGTTCTCAATGTCGGTACTTGATGGTGTACCTATCTACAGGATACTCCTTAAATATTGTGGACAATATACTAAACACTGRTAAATTCTAAGACTTAGAGTTTAAGCATAATATGCATTTTATCTAAAAGTAAATATGTGATGAGCATACTTAAAGAATTAACCTATATAGAAAAAATTTGTTTTAAAACTATAATGATAAAAAAAAACCTAAGTCAGACCTAGATAATATTCTTACTTTTACTTTTAGTAATAAATCAATTCTCTGTAATATTAATAATTAGAATATTTTAATCTCTTTTTAATTAAAAATATTCAGATTAGTACCTATATATGTATGTATAATTTTAAAAAGGTGGGCAAGTGGTACCTAACACAAACACTCACATCATTGTAATATCAATACATTTATCACTTGGCTCAGAATACAAAATGATTGAGTAAAATGGATTATTTGTAATGAACAGTTTTTCATTGTACCTTAGCAAGACGGAGACAACACATGCAGATTGCAGATATAATCGTTTTTCATAAGTTATGAATCATAACGTAATCTAAACTATAAAGACCTGCAATGTTATACTAAAATACTTAAACGTGTGTAGGTATTTTGGTAGGTATACTTAAATAATATGAATAAGAAAATTGGGCTATCTCCCAATATGCGGTCTACCAAAATGGACGTGGTCTACCGTAATAATATTAAATTAATAGAGTACAATATAAGTATAATTTAAAGTATAAAAAAAAATTAATTTATTTGGGATCCACAAAATTATCTACCATAATAATATTAAAAGTATTATTTAAAGTATAAAAAAAATTTTATTTATTATTTATTAAGGATTCTTCGGTTAAAAAAATTTTATAAAATTCTTTAACTAGCATTTTAAAAACTATTTTTTCAACTCAAAATTTAAAAAAAGTTGTATTACTACAAACGACACTAAACCAACTAACCCAGTAACCTGTATTGTTATGAAAAATTAAGATAAAACATATAAATTGGTAGATAATAAATATAAATGATGCGGGATTCCAGATATATAGGTAGAACACATAACATTGATAAACCGCATACTATACTCATATTTATAGTTACGTAGCACACAAAACGGAGGTAGACCGCATATTGGGAGATAGCCGAAAATTGAGTTTAAAATATTCTAAAAGAATCGTCTAGTGAAGGACATATTTGAGCAATAATAAGATGTRGAGAGAAATAATAAGATTTTTGGAAGTAGTACATAAACATAAGTACATTTAAATAGGYATTTAATATACCTAACAACCTTTATCTTTATTCTCATATAATATACTTTTATTTCTATTTAAATATAGGTAATGTAATAAATTATAGTTCATAGAAACCGTGTTAAATGACCTACTACCCTGGAACCTAGAATATATGCATACATATATGTAGCTTTGGCTACACCCTACACAATAATTATTGACCTAAGCAGTGGCGTGCCCAGAAATTTGGTATGGGGCGGAGGGGGGGGGTTCAAAAATAAAAAATGTATTATTTTTAATCTTTATTATTATACAAAAAAAAATTTAGAGATCCAAAATTCAGTCATATTTGAAGACTAAAAAAAAAACCCATGGTAGGGAATCATCCCCCATCATCCCACCCTACGCACACCACTACTGGGCACCTAATGGCAAAATACGATGTCGAACTTGGTTAACGAATTGCCGCGATACGTAAACGTATTAGTTGTGTCGTCGAACGATYCATTGTTGAGTGTAGGCGTCCGGGCAAGGATTTCTTGAAGAATGGTTGTTACTTTGTTAGTTTTGGGGACCYACTGGTTTGTGATAAGTACCTAATTGTGCAGTTAGAACGCAGTTCTTAATTCGTTGGATTAAGCTCCTCTACTTAACTTTTTCCGATTCGAGCCCTGATTGTAACCACAGAACAATATGTTTTAACTATAATCGACTTATTTAGGTATACCTATTAGGTATGAATTATAATATACTAAACTGTCATCTGTACTTTCTTATAATTTAAATACTAATTAGGTATCTAGAAATATTATTTTTATTATTACCAATTCACTAAATGGATTTTGTTGATTGTCATATTGTTATTACTTACTAGAGTTAATTTTTGGGAATTTTCATTTCAAAACATTTGATTTACCTAAAAAAATCTTATATTTTGATAAAGTAGGTAAATGGTTGTAAAATCATAAGGACCTTGACTTGACATTTTAGTTTTTCTAATTTGTACTCTATTACAAATAATAATGCTTTATTTAATTATCATACTATAATATTATAGAAAAAAAATTATATTTAAATTTATAAATATATTTTTTTATTTTGTATTATTAATATTCAATCTGGATATGAGCTAAATAAAACTAAAAGAAAACTTGAACAACTTGATTGAAGAAGCCACTCAATGATGAACCTTTTTTTTTTGTTATTAAGGTTTGTTAACAAGCAGGTCTCTGCACTGTTTGTGCTTCAGGGAACAATGAAGGTTTCCAGGGAAGGCTAGTAGCTAATTTTTAATGAGTGGATTTGGGTGAAAGGTGCAAGTGGAGCTGTTTATAGTAATTTTTGGTCTTTTTATTAATGAATTTCAAGTGTAAATCTTTATGTAGGGTGTGATTAGAATTTTAGGTTAGGTTAGAATGATTAAATACTTATGGTAGAGAATTGGTAATTTTCCTCAGTGTCATACTTTAGAACCTATGTGTTTTATTTWGATGGTAGATTTTTTTATTCCTCCATAACTGGAGGCCGTATGTCCAAATCGGTATTAGGAAATATTTATAGAGAAGTAATTACATATATTATTAAGTTAATTGTTAAGCTGTAATATTCAATGTACTAAAAGCTAGTAAAAAAAAAATTATATATATTGTATAATATGGTATGTTGCATTTTTTAATTTGTATATACAATACAAGCTGACCTATTTTCCACATTCTAAAATTTAAACGTATGATCTAATAAGAAATTAAATGATAGACATCATATTTTCCTGTTTTTGTAATAATTATCTTTTTAATAGAATACTGTGGCTTCGTACAAGAAAGCRCAATGTAACATTTGAACAAATTTGAGATTATTGAACCAATTTCATTAAAATTTGATTATGATTGATATTTATGTTAAAACGGCTTATGTACCTGATGCAGTATGACCAAATTATGTATTTGTTTAATTGTTAAACTGCTTTGTAATATAATTATTTTTATTTTTCTGTAGTAATCTACTTTTATATCCCTAATTTTAGATAATTATTGTTAGGAAAACTTTAAAAAATAAAAAAAAAAGACCAAATTAGATTGGATATTGGCCAAATCGATAAAAGCATATCAGTTACATAGCACATGACAACATTGGCTATTTCAAAATTAATTAATTAATTTTAAATATAAAATAAAATTTACTACATAGTAATTGAATTTTATTATTACCTAGTTAATTGATAAAATATTAAAATTGTTTAATAATTAAAAATTGTTTATTTTAAATTTTAGTTTTTGGCATATGAGAGTCACATTGAAAAAAAAAAAAAATTAATTAGATAAGTAACAGTATTTTAAAGTCCCTAATTAAAATTGTTCTTATCAATTCATAAATATTATACCAAAATAATACATTGGCCTTTCTCGCACCAAGCTACAGAATTATACATTTTAAACAGAAATCTCAAATTTTCAATAATTAACTAAATCATAGTAAGCTTCTAAACAAAAATTTATTTCAAATATATAATTTTTTTTTTTTCATAGGCCAAAGCCTCAAATAATTCAGAGATTTTAAAAATTGCCTGTTAATAACTAATAATTTAAATCGAAATCAATTTGCCATCAAAAGGTGTTTTAGCGATAGGACAGTTGCCATTCATAGTAAATTCATCATATTAAGCTTATTGGTTTTCAATTATTTTTCTGAAAGTGAAAATCTCTCTTCAACAATCACATTCTAATCATCAAAACACAGATTATGTAAGTTATCAAGTCACTATAACGTATTTTTGGTAACAATAACATTAGAAAGAATATGTGGTATTCATGTCGTATGCGGTCTACCGCCCATTTCTACACGTCATATGCGGTCTACCATAGTTAAAAATATGAATGAATACATAAATGTAGAATTACAATATATTTATTAATATAGAATTTCAATATGATATTAAATAATACAAAASAATATATAAAAATATGTAGATAAATTTAATAAGTATATGTATTAAAAACTAACTGACAAAAAATGTAAAAATATATAGAGATATGCATTAATCAATTTAAATTAGGTACAATATAATTTCACATCTCTTATAAAACAATCAAATGTGTTGTAACATTCTTGTTTTTTAGAAGCAACCATTGTTCTGCCAAATATGAGGGCAGCAATGATTGAGATATGCCATGTATTTTTTTAATAATTCAAAGTTTTTAAACAAAATAATGACTAAAAAATATATATATATAGATACGTGGCAGTAGACCGCATATGACGTGTAGGAACATACGTGGTAGACGATAAATGTGCGGTAGACCGCATACAACATGAATACCGAATATGTTTTAGGGCAGCTGTAAAGAATCAAAATGTGTGATGAATATATTGAACAATATAGCTAAAAACAGTTTTATGAAACACTTGACTTAGAATAAGGAAGACTTTGAGAAACTGAGTTTGATATTAATACATATTATTATAAAAAATGTATATGTAAAAATTTAAATAGAATAATAAATTATCATCATTTGTATAATTCATAATATTAAATTATTGTATCTGTATAGAGTTCCATAACAGAATACAAAATAAACTGAAGTGTAGCCGATGCAAAGAACTCGTAACATAAAAGTATGATAAAAAGTCAATATTTCATATTAATAAAACTTTAGCGATAAAATATTCTTTGAGATGTTAAGATCTGGGTCACCCATATGGCATCAATTTTMAAACACACTCAAGGTACATTGAGAGGTTGTACAACAAAGCATAATGAAAATATATGTAACTAAAATCGAATATTAGAAGGACTAAAATCGTAATCATCTGCGTTATMTATTGGACACTCATTCTTCTTTACATAATTTATGCAGTCTACATGGCCATTTGACACAGCGCTGCTGTATGTGTCTATGTTCCACGAACAATGATTTTCTCGTGCGTAAACCAAACAGTTCAAGTGACCGTTCAAGGCAGCATTGCTGCAAGTCTTCTTGTCCCACCAGCAACCATTTTCTCGTGCATACACCAAGCAATTCATGTGCCCATTTAACGCAGCATTGCTGCATGTTTCCAAACTCCACAAGCATCCGTTTTCCCGAGCATATACCAGACAGTCTATGTGCCCATTTAAAGCGGCGTTGCTGCATGTTTTCTTATTCCACGGACAGCCGTTTTCCACGGCATAAACCAGACAGTCCTTGTGTCCGTTCAATGCAGCGGTGCTGCACACGTCTTCGTTCCACGGGCAGCCCTTTTCCCGGGCGTATACTAAACAGCCCAAATGTCCACTTGACGCAGCGCTAAAACACGTCCACTGRTCCAAAGGTACGCCTATCTCGTGAGCGAGTTTCAGACAATCGATGTGACCATTCAACGCTGCCTTATCGCATATTGTTTTAAACTTCAGATTTTCATTGTCGGGGAATCGCGACCTACTGAACATGGTCTGCCTATCGTTGCCAGGGTTTAAGTTTTTGTCGAGTTCCAACATTTCGAACAGCAACTCACAACAGTTTCGCAAATCGACTTTAGGCACCTGCAGCAAGTCGTACTTGTTACGCTCTATCTGGTTGCAAGCGAAGTACGCCGTTTTCAACATGCTAGGTAATTCGTACATATCTTCGATGTCCGTCAATGTAGCCGTGGGCTCAAAACGTACAGTAAATGCTTAGGCGTACAGTAAACAAAAACTCGAAATGGTCGCGCAAAGCATTCAACAATAATTAAATTGGTAAAACGATGAGACCTTSCTGTTGAAGTGTTGAATATAACAATTAACTATTCGCGATGAAAAATTATGTTAAATGATGAAAATTGATATTCGACGACGTGTGGAGAACGTAAAATGTCCCACGAATAACGTCGTTAAACCAATTCAACTAATCAACAAGTTTCAAGGCAAGTCTGAAGGACTGAAAATATTCTGAGTTCTGAGGTTCTGACAGACAGAAAAGTACAATAGTACAAACACTACAAACACTTATAACGTTATAAGTGTTATAACGTTATAACACTTATACAAACAACAAGTAACAACAACAACCAGCCAACAACAACGATAATAACATATTACATAACAATAGCCTTTAACATTCTTTAATAATTGTACCATATTTTGTATTTAATTTGTACCATGCTTAATAGTTAATATAATCACTAATCAGTAATCACAGAACAATAACGATCCTATAATATCATGGAGTATAACATAAAATATGGATTCTTATCCATGATATCATAACGCAAGCCGGTCACCAATTTGAATTTTTAATTTGGTCCATGACCGCGGCATCCGAGTGGAAATGTGGAATAGAATTCATATTATCATATTTACCTACATTGTAATCGAAAGAAAACCCCAATGCAATTAATAAATTAAATAGTATTTAAATTATAAAAGACAGTTGTTGCCAATATTATAATACCAAAATATAAAATAATATTAGTCATTAACAATATTCATAAATATGTGGAAGTGGAATCACACAATGGTCTGGGTGATCATTATCAGTGTTAGAATTTTACTTACTAACTTGTTCTGGTAGCCTTTGCCTTTACCAGTTACTCCGCAATTAAAATATTTGGTGGCCGATAACTGAGGGTACTCCTAGGATAATTCCTAGGGTAGGAGAGCTACGTATTGCAATTCATACTGTTGAGTTTTGAATAGGTACCTAAAATACCAAATAAATACAATTTTCTGACAATAACCACCCTGCAAGTTAAAGACTGAAACAATTGTACTACTTCAACTGATAATGACACAATGAAAAAATAATATTAAAAACGGTAATCTCATACATACATATTAGAATCTAAAAATTATTTTTAAGTAGGTAATAACAGTGTACAAATAAATATTTAATATAAATTATTATTTATTCTAACATAGATAACTTCTATAGTTTTGTGCAATTTTATTATGCTAAATAAATTTGAATTTTTTTTTTACAATGTTAAACAATTGATCATTACACATTAACATTTAATTGCAAGTATGCGCACATGATAGACACTATAGTCAGTCACTTATAATAGACTGTCAGCTCAGGTTTTAGTGTACACAATTGATTCACCTGCCTAATGGCACAAGAATAAATGCCTAAGTATATTAGTAAATACAATTAACAATTWATGTTAATTAAGCTCATTAAGAAATGGATATAATACATTATCAGAATTATAATTGAGTAGATTCACAATATTTATTGCCTTGATATTTTATAGTGAATCAAAAATAGGCAACCACTGTCAGAAAAACCATGTATTACATTTTCAATTTTTTTGATTAAGCAAACATTTTTTATCAACAATAATTGAAATAAAAACAAATTGAAATATTCTTATGYTTATTAAATAGCTTAAAAAGAGTCAAAAATACTTTTAAAATTTTAAAATTGATCGTGTATAGGAAATGCTAAAATAAACATTTTGTGAATCTTTTAGATATTTACGGTTACYCATTTATGAGTGACTACGAAAAAAATAATATAATTTTTTTCAAAAACTAGTTTTGCATAAAAATTCGCTGTTTTTTGATTTTCTCAACATTTTTGAAAACCAATAACAGTTTRAAATATTAACCTATCAAAAGTATCAACTTTGTTCCTTTTTCTACAAGAAAAAATGTTGAAATTGAAAATCGAAGCATTGTATTGAATACTAATTCCAAAAAGTGCATATAATTTATTAATCAGTCCATGGAGTTTATTGTAATAACTTTACTTACAAAATTTGTATTAAAAATAAATGTATGAATAATAACACTTTAATTAAAAAATGTTTTAAGTAAAAGATTTACGAATTTATGATGCCAATGGATTTGCATGAATGGAAACATATTGTATTTTCACATCAGTCAAAGGTTTAAAATTTTTAGGATTTACTGGCAGTTTTTCTAGTTCGTCTAAAGCTTCAAATCCATCAATTACCCTATAAAAATAATAATATAAGATTAAAAATCAAAGAATAATTTTTATTTAGTGTTGTATTACCTTCCAAAAACTGTGTATTTTAAATCTAGATTGGGTTGAGCAGCATATGTCAAGAAAAATTGGCTACTATTAGTATTAGGCCCATTATTAGCCATTGATAAAGTTCCTCGTTCTTTATGCTAAGATTTTAATAAAATATTATTAAGTTTTGTTTATTATTTGTTTTGATAATAAATAATTTAAATGTTAAAATATAGTAACTTTTAAATTTTCTTTGAACTCATCTTCAAACTTCCGACCCCAAATTGATGAACCTCCTTTACCTGTATGTGTTGGATCACCAGTTTGTACAATGAATCCTTTTATGTTACGGTGAAACAAACATCCGTTGTAATAGTCACTGGCACATAATGCCAAGAAGTTCTGATCATAAACAATAATTAAAGAATTATTTAAATACTATGAAGTATAAAAAATATAATATAATACACATAGTTATTTCAATATTTACCTCTGCAGTTTTTGGGCACTCTTCACAGAATACTTCAATTTTTATATCACCAACATCTGTGTGTAGGGTTACAGACTAAAACATAACAACTTCAGATTTTAAAACCATAACATAAATCCAAGCAATCTTTGGAATATTTTCAAAAATATATATTAATGCATTATATTAATATGATGTGCAATGAGCAATACTACAATTTATCACTTAATATAATACATACAATATTTTAAAGGATTTAGTAGTAAAAGTAGTTTTCATTTCTTTTTTACATTACTATTATTAATTCATATTTAAAATATAGGTACTTTAGAATTGAATGTATAAAATATGATTAGTTAAAATAACTACATATCAACTAAAACCACAAGTTTTAAATTATTATACGACTATTGAGTATGTTAATTGTAACTAGTGTAAATTAAACTAAAATTGAATTAATTCACAATCAAGATTATGAATTGTGATGATTGGCTTACCATAGCTAGTAAAATATGAACACAACTTCTGGATGTAGAGTATCCGTATCTTTCCAACAGATAAACACTAAGTATAACAAATTCGAATTAGCGTTGATTCAAATTTCATTAGCATCAATGAATCACGATTGACGATTTTGCAGGCGCTAGACAGAATAATATAATATACTATATTACTATGTAGAAATTAGTAATACTAATTACATTATAAATTAGAATCAATATAATCTATTATCTAATATTTTAAATATTTAAATTTTAATATCACTCGATATCTGAATTTTTCACCAAATTATATACACGATAACGAAGCAATAATCAAAAATTTGTTATTATCAAAAACTCTTTCTTATCTCTGAAGTTGATTGCCATTTACAGGTGATGCAAATTGCAAACCGGTAATGCCATGTAATTTACATGGCATTACAGTGCCATATCCACTAATCCACTACCTCGGCCGTATAATTCAAAATTATAATTTATAATAGATGTGTTAATATAGCCTCCCTTAGTCCCTTCTCAGTTGTATTTAAGATTTTCTCAAGACATTGATGAGCGGGAAATTGATAATTATTTTACTATGTAAAAATCATAATGAATATCCTGTATTTTATTTTTAATAATTGTGTAAGCTATTTAAAATATTTTTAAAATTTTTCAATTCTTTCAGCAACTTCGCAGTGTACGCACCGATCACTCTACTTCAACATCCCGTCTATAAGTCATCTAGCATACCTACTAGTATAGGTACAGTAGGTACACTCAGGCCCCCTCATCATTTTTTTTTTGCCCTGGTAGGTACAGACTACAGAATTAAATCCGGACCCCTATTAAATAACATTTAGTTTTTAAACATTTTTCTAATTTATATCGAAGTAATATTATTTGCATGAACGCCAGACCCACTAGGCCACTACCATGGGTCCTTCTTGTGGGGGGGGGCCTAGGTACACTATATACAAAAATTACATATAAATTCTTATAAATTGTGTTAATATTTATAGGTAAAAAATCAAATTTTCATTGTCGAAATYCAATTCTTGATTGTTATTGCTTGTAAAGTTATTACTTATTAGTTATTACTTCTACAATTTACGTCCAATCATATTTCCGAGTTTAAATCTTATTTTTAATTAGAACTTATGGTATGTACTATGCGGATGCGCCTATATTCATTACAGTTCCTCTCAAGTATACGCGGTTTATGCATTATGCACTCATTACGACCAGACACTCGTCTAGGGTCTTGAATATGTGCTTGAAATTATTTACACCAAAAAGTTTGGCATTGCTCTATCCATAATATACCGTATTATCTAAGAGGTAGTGGCACCGAACTCCTAAAAATCTAGTAGTGCGAAAATTKTTTTCATGTCTTTGTAATTAAAGGTGTTTCTAAGAGGTTAACAATCAATAGAACAACTTGATACGTAAACACTTATATTGAAAATCAACTGAGGATCTTTTTATTCAAAGTGCCCTTGTTAACCATCCGTTTGACACGCGTTACACAAATACTATTAATCTTTCTACAAACATTCAGATTGATACTAATTAAGCCCAGTGTCATAGTCAGCCTTTTTGAGAAGTATTGGGTGTATAGTACTGTATACAATTTCCCCTCCCTAAATTCTAACCCTGGCCTATGACACTGCCTTCCCCGCAGACATGCAGATGGTTAAACAAGTTATGAGAAGATTATTTTAGGTTAGGTACCTATAAAAAATGGTAAGTTGAGCTCAGTTGATGATAGATGACTATATCATCACTGGTCGTGGCATTTGCATTGATTTTTTCCTACTAACTATCAAGGTATTCGAAATTGTAAACATAACAATGAAAGAAAATATTTAAAAATTGACGGGGAAAATATTAATACAATAGGTACTTAATATATTAATATATAATACATACTTCTTTTTTTTAGCTTACGCAATAAAAAATTAATGCTTAAATCTTATTTTAAATCTATTTATGCCACACGATTAATATTTTCGTAATCTTTATCATGGTTTTAAGTCCAAATTAGTRTTATACCARTATTTCATAAGTACCTACTTAGAAATGTAAATTACAGTGAATAATGCATCCTCTGATCATCATTTATAATATAATTTTGATTTATACAATACAATTTGATATGTGATGTAACTTAAAATTGACGGCAGTCCATCATGACTACAGTCTACAAGTCAATAGATTTCCTAATTTTTAAAATTGTTTGCAAAGGTGTTTTATTACGTTCACTCACGTTGCCTTCATAATATATATTTTCATTTAATAAACTAAAATTTGTGTAATAGTAAAAATTATACACAATGATTAGATATTCAATAAATTTCAATTAATTTTCTTATACATCACATTCTAAACAGGAGCTGTCTAAATCTTCATTCATCAAAGAAATAATAACTATAAATAAGTTTTTGGGTTTATGAGTTTGGAGATTGTGGATTGCAGTCATAGGTTATGTTTCCTAATTTCGTTTTTTTGCTTTTTGAAAAACATTTGCCTACGGGCGCCATTCCCCCCTTCCAAAATTTTTATTTCATAATTTAATATTGTTTATTTTTTTGTGTACACAATTTTTGAACATTAATAACCATTTGTCTCAATAAAACTCATTCTATCACGATTTTATTATTCTCAATAGTTTAATTAATTTAATTTTCTTGAGATTACATACAGCAGTCTTCAGTGTGTATTCTTAGTTCTTACATCATAATATTTCAAAACTTTTTTTTTCATTATTTAATATAGTTTATTTTTGTGTACACAATTTTTAAACAATTATAACCATTTAACTGAAAAGACAATTATATCACAATTTTATTATTCTCAATAGCTTAATTCATTTTTTTTTTTAATGGAATTATACATTTTGCAGTCTTCAGTATGAATTCTAATATTCTAATATTTCAAATGTTTTTTCTTGTTTCTTGTAAAACACCTGTCTGCGGTCGCTAATCCCCCCTTCCCCCTTTTTTTTCATAATTTAATGTAGTTTATTTTTTCGTGTACACATTTTTTTAACATTAATAACCATTTGTCTCAATAAAACTCTACTAATTCGACTAGTTATGCTGTACACAGACACA